TTGGGGTTGTTGTAGTAGCTAGGGTCGAATAACCAGGATAATAAACAACCCCCAAATTGAAATGGCTTAACAGGATAAGAGTTTATTTCTATTATAGCAATCAAATGCAAGCATTGCTGATGGGGTGACTCTCCTCCTGGAATCTGCAAACTCCATGGTTCCAGAACTCTCTGCTGGACTCTCCACATCCAGCCGGGATAGGAGACTGTGTGGTGGGCGGGGTGGGGGGGAGCGGTTTTCAGGGCTAGGCATGGAGTGTCCTCCATCACTTCTGCTCATATCCCATTGGCCAGAACTCAGTCCCTACAAAGGAGGTGGGAAATGCCAGGCCCAGGAGGCAGAGAAACTGAGTTGTGGAGAACATAACCACCATGTCTGCCGTTCTGTGGATATAAACACATATTGACTTTGTCTTTCACTTCGTGTTGATGGCTCACTAAGATTGTGCTTGCTTTCGGGGCGCCTGGGTGGCTCAGTTGGTTAGGCGACTGCCTTCGGCTCGGGTCATGATCCTGGAGTCCCGGGATCGAGTCCCACATCGGGCTCCCTGCTCGGCGGGGAGCCTGCTTCTCCCTCTCCCACTCCCCCCTCTCGTGCTCTCTCTCTCTCTCATTCTCTCTCTCAAATAAATAAATAAAATCTTAAAAAAAAAAAAAAGATTGTGCTTGCTTTCAGGCCATCTAGATTGGTTTATTTGGCAACAGCAAAGCATAAGTATATGCAAATAAGGTGTAAGAAGGGCCACGTGGAATGTCAGGGAGAAAGAGCTCAGCCCCATCTTGGGGGGACCTTTCTCAGAGTTTTCCTGAATTGGAATCACCTTGAAGTATTAACAATACTCAGCTCTGCTATGAATAATAGAGAAAGAGAGTGGCCAGAGCATGGATGAAACTTGAGAAAATACTGACACACACAAAAGGTAAAAATCATTTCTAGAAAAAAAGAGTGGCCCGCATAATCAGGCAGCCAGAAAGAGAGAGCCAGCAAGATAAAGACTAACAATTGGGGTCCTGGGTGGCCCATCTCAGAGACGAGGAAGCAGGTCTTAAGGACCGGAGTTGAGGAAGCCTTGAGGAAATGGAGCATTAAAATGGGAGTCCTCTCCTTAAAAAAGAGGGAGCCAGGGTGGGCATGGCCAGAGGGCAGGTGTCTGGAGACCGCCGAGAGTTGTCCCAGCCGCTGTCCCCTCCTGAGCCAGGAAGGAGCAAACAGATGAGGTGAGAGTGCAGCCCCTGCCCTCAGGGGCTCACCGTCTGGAAGGACAGACATATCTTCAACTGATTACAGCCAGACCAAGATAAATCACACAATAAGGCTGTTACTAAGCTTCTAGCAGGGCAGAAATTAGGGAAAATCGATTCTGCCAAGAGGCATGAGATGGTATTCACAGCAGGCTTTAAACGATGAATGGAATGTGTAACAGGTAGACAAGGGGACATGGCAGGAACTTGGCAGATAATGATCTGTGGAACTAAGCCATCCACTTCCAAACGCACTTAGCATCTGTTATCTCATTTAATGGCTCATAACCACACTATGTTGTTATTAGCCGCACTTTGCTGATGAGAAGACTGAGGTGTGAAGATACGCGAGGAGACTGGCCTAGAGATGGGGCCATGCCGGCATTGCGGGGGGGGCGGGCAGTGGCAAGGGCAGGGCCTCTGGAGTCAGACAGGAGCCCGGGAGTCTTCCCAGCATGGGGCCTCCAGCTACGTTGCTAGTTCTGCTCTGGGTCTCCTCACTCAGGAGATGAGGATAATAACACCAACGTTGCAGGACCGTTAGGATTATGGAAGGAAACTAGATGATATTTTCACACGGTCCCCTGGGCTTTGCAGGAAGCCAGAGAGGAGGGTTGTGAAATCTCAATTATCTAGGATATTTCTGGGCAGAAGGGTCTCCCCAGAGCCCCTCTTGCTGCCCCTAGTCAGCATTCTGGCCTTTAGAGGGGTTTCCAGCTCAGACCTTCTACCTACCCTCTTCCCCGAAGCCTATGGGGGCAGAACCACTGCTCTCCTAGGCCTCCCACTTAGAAGCACGACCTTGCCAACTCCAGCGCATCTCACCTGAGTGGCTGCAGGTCAGCGCAGGGGACCTCCATCATGGCCCACCCTTACTCAGGGCCTGCAATGGCTCCCTCTTACCAATTAAGATTGAGCTCCTCTCTTCCTGGACCACAAGCCTTCATACCCCGTCCCTCCAGCACATCTCCACACTGCCTCTTCCCAGCAGGGACCTGGGTGCTCACATTCCCGCCGCCACACTACTGCCCATGGGTTTCCTCTTTCTGGAATGCTCTCTCCCACCTCTGCTGATAGTGCTTCCCTGGATACCTTTTCCGTCTGAGGCCCCGCTTGGAGCCAGGCCCAAGTATCTGAGACCAGGACGGATGGACAAAAGAACCTGGGCCAGGGCACCTGGGTGGCTCAGTCGGTTAAGCATCTGCCTTCGGCTCAGGTCAAGGTCCCAGGGTCCTGGGATCAAGCCCCGCATCGGGCTCCCTGCTCCGCGGGAAGCCTGCTTCTCCCTCTCCCACTCCCCCTGCTCATGTTCCCTCTCTTGCTGTGTCTCTCTCTGTCAAATAAAATCTTAAAAAAAAAAAAGAACCTGGGCCACCAGGCAGGAGGAGGCCGGGTCCAGCAGAGGGGCCATCCTATTCTTAGGTTGTTCTAGGCTGAGGCGCTTTTCAGCCATGAACCAGGAGAGTCCAACGTAGGAGGCACCTACCTTGAGGTTCATTTTGTTGAAGCACCTGTGGCCCAGGAAGGGCCAGCCACTGGTAGGTCCCCCAGAGCCAGCGGTGATCTGCCAGGCCCCAGCACCCCCCACCCCCTGACTGCTGCCAAGGGAGCCCGTACGATGGGGTTGGTTTGGGCTCTTTGTCACTAACTCTACTCGAAGCTGAATGGAAATGAGCTGCTTGGGAGGAGGCGGAGGAGGCCGGTAATGGCCTAGTCTTAACAAAATAAAATTTTGTGTTCCTTAAATACATGAAGTCACCCTGAATGGCCATTAACAAAGAGTGGTCAAGGAAAGGTACTGGCTGCTTCAGAGCTGAGGTCAGAGTTCACTTGCGATTGGTGTGCTAACTGCTCCCATGCAAGCAGGTATTACCAAAGGGTCCAGCACTCTCTGCCATCTGGGGCACACCCCGCGCTTGCAGGCCAGGAGCTCCTAGTATTATTATCTTGTTCCCACTAGGAGTTTGTTCAGCACATGTTCCCATCAGCAGGGTCTAATTCCTCTCCAGCCTTGTGAAAGCATCACAAATTCTAAATTAGAGGTGTCTGAGCTAACAAGGGCCTCTGTCTGCTCTTCTTACATTTCTTCCATTGTGTGTTCCTCATCGCCACCACCAGCCCCCAGTCAGATCTG